GATGTGCTCTGTTTCGCGTCTTAAAGTCTTGGCGATTCGAGATGCGGCGCGATAACCAGCGCGGGTGGAGTTTGCTGGATGTAGCGAGAGAGGGAGAGGAAGGCCGGGCCTCTTCTTGGGCCGCACCAGGTTGCTCAGGACGTTACGGAGATTTTATAGGAGCGTAACGCACACGGCACTGTACGCGCCGCTTGGCGTCATAATGATTATAATTGCCCTCGCTATCTTTAATGTCCTGGAAGCGGGTAATGGTAGCGGCTATTATGGCCGCTCGTATAACCCGCCGCGAGATCTCGATATCCCCCATTTAAGATTCGGCCGTTTCCAACGACTACAGGATACCATCTTACGCTTATTGTTTATCGATGAAACGAGCGTGCTTGGACTTTTCCCTCGTGTCGAGAACGATTTTGTTGAAGCTGTCTTTATTCGTCATTCAGCGAGTGTTTTGCTTTGAGAAAGATATATTTCGTTACTGACGGATCAAGACAAGTGCTCTCCTTCAGTAGAGATTAATTGAAAACTTGTTTACGAAACCTTGCTCGACGAGGGAAAGCCTTGAATTATATATTCTTACACATTCTCGATTTAAATGGAACCCTTTATCGAGGATTTTGTGTTTTCCTTTGTCTTTCTTTTTTAAAATTATAATTTTACTTGCGTTAATGATAAAATAATTAAAAGCATTTTGCTTTTATATATGCATGTATGTTTTTATTTATCAACATATTGAATTCTTTCTTTGATATATTTACGCGCTCGAAATTTTACGTTCGCGAATAATTTTTATAAGATAAAGTTTTTTGCCCTCGAAATTGCGTCGCACTACATTCGTGCTTTAACGATCTCACGAATCCCTCAAACGAGCAGGTATCGTCGAAAAGACCAGGCGATAAAATTTTTATCTCATTTTACACACGTTTGTATCGTAATTCAAGCGAATCTGCCGCGGTATCGGACGAATTAAAACGTATCGGGGAATGATTTAATAATAATCCGACCGCTTCTCACAAAGGAGCTCAAAGGACATCGATTAGTCTATAAATTAATCGTTTCGTCATGTATGTACTCTTAGTATACTGCCGTGTATACCGGCTACACATGTTTCTCTTTTATATCATTTTTATAACTCTCAGGCCAAAGATAAAAGTTGCGGGATTATGAGTCCAATTAAGTCGATATAAACGAAAATATCAGCCTTATTTTTATTAAATACCGTTATTATACAATCCTCTTAACATTAATTGGATATAAATAATCGCAAAAGTTGAATCTTTCTCCTACTTTTGATTTCAATTTAACAGCTGTTTTGATATTTTAAGTAATCATAAATCATTATTTAATTTATATATAGTTTTAATTTATCCAAGATTTCGCTTTTAATCTTTTCAGTGAGAAATTGTCTCATTTTACTGCCTATTTCAGATATTCAATGGGAGAATAATTTCTGTATAAAGTAAATCTAATGGAATTCTCTCCCCTTTAATAAAATTAAATATTATTAATTATTAATGTGAGAAAATTGAAGTCAAAAATGGAAGTAAAATTGCAGATAAACCGAATTATAAATTTAGATTTGTGCGAATAGATTCACGATCGCGTGGTGCGGGAGTCAATGTTCGAACCAATATAACGCCTTATTACGGCAGCGTGACGAAGGTCACTGTGTGCCTTTGCACGAAGATGTCATTTCTTCATGGTCGTGTCGGGTTATCCGACGTCTCGATCTTCCGAGCTCGACGAGAGAAAAAAAAATCGGCTGATTACGTGAGGCTGCGTCCGCTTCCGTTTCGCGCGTCGAGACGCACCCTTAGAAAGGTTTACGGCCGGAAGTCGAACCCTCGTGTGCACGTTCGCGGGGGCGGATGCGACGCGACGTATTATATCTCGCCCGCGCGTAGCTTTTCCAAGTACACGGACCCAATTATGTAATTAAGATAATAAGTCGACACGAGCGTGTGTGTAGGTCCAGGCTCTTGTGTCCGCCCGACAAGTTCTGTCCCTTCTCTCCTCGTGCGAGGCTCGGCGAGCCGCGTATGGAAATTCTACATTATCATTATCCGTTTCAGGGGAGCGTGAGACATGCGCTTGAAAACATTGTACATGTATTGCAAAGGGTTCTTATCCTTGGTAATGATTTACGAGATGCAACGTGAAAATTTATTTTTACACGTATTTCTGATTTATCGATGTAAAACCACCGAGCCAAAGATATTCGACCTGTGTTTTATTTATTGCATCTTGCTAACTGCGGTTACGCGAAGCGAACGTTTGCCAGGTTACGAACAAAGCTATCGGTATTCCTTATCAGGTAGAGGAAAGCAAATTATCTCGATCTTCCTGCGGCGGAAAAAGTCGATAATTATTGCTCGTTAAACTAGTGACGCGAACTCCACGAGAGAAAGAGAGAGAGAGAAAGAGAGAGATCTTCTTCTTCGCCTTCTCTCGCGTTTCGCGTCTCGAGGTTGTAAAAATTCGCGCGAAGAGAACCGGAACAAGGAAGCTAGAAATCAACTCGACCATCTTCACGTTTCGAAGGATGCGATCAATTGACACACCGAATGTCTTACTCTCCTGCCTATGAATATTTATATAATGTACTCTTCGATGAAATTTAAAATTTCATTAATTAATTTCATTAAACTGCAACTCGTTCCTTGAAGTAAAATAATTGATAGTATCTCGTTATGCTCTCAAGTTGATTTTAGACAACCTGTAACACGCGATTTAATTCGATTAATAATTATCACATGTAATCAGCAAATGCGACATATAAAACCATAAATGGAAAATTCTGAATTTCGTCGCGGATTATAAATTGATCCAAGACGGGCGAACAAATTGACAATCTATCGGAAGGGAAAAATGTTAAACGCGAGTATCGCCCATTCGCCCCGTACACCCTGTATGTACATATAATCACGGCACCTTCGAGTCCGTTAGCGTTACTAAGCGCGCGTACATCGATCATCGGCAAAGTTGGCTCGCCCGGGACGAAAGTCGTCCGATCAACCGACGGTCGTATCAGGAATTATTATTCACCGGCCGTCAGTGGATGAGAGAAGGAGAGGGCGGGGCCCGTGGCGCATGCATCATCGAGAGCAAATTCCGTTGCCCCGTCTTTATTTTACCACGGTAGTGAGGTACAACACGCGGGCGGACACGCAGGAAAGATGAGCGAGGAAAGAGGAGAGAGAAGGAGAGAGAGAGGAAAGCTACTCTTCTCTCCCCTGATCCTCACGTGGCCGCCGTCAGTCCGCTTAACTGTAGATCAATCAATATACCTCGCTTGAACCCTCTCCCGGTCCCCACCTCTCTTACCTTTTACTTCGTCCTCTCCCTCCGGCTCTGCCCCTAACGAGCTCATCGCTCGTGTAGCCAAAGAAAAAACACGAGAAAGTGGTACAAAATGGCCCTTGAGAAATGCTGTCCGTCCATCCGTTCGTTTCTTCGTTCCTGCGATCTCTCGCTCATTCCGTTGCTTCATCTCGTCAAGGGTGTAATGGACGAGATCGGGAGGAGGATGAGCGAGGAGAGGAGGTCGCCGTGAAAATTGAACCGAGGTAGACGAACGGCGAGATCTCTTTCTTTCATTGATTAACGTCGATTAACAATCCCGCTGGACGTGGTGCATGGTGGATCGCCGAGCACCTGCCGCTGTAGAAACCTCTACGTACGTGGTCGTGTATCTCGGTGCGTGTGCGTCGCATCGAGTGTGTATATGCGTGCGTATTGTCCGTATTTCGTTTTGTCGCCGTACATCTCGTGCGCGCTCGGCATTTTTTCCTCGTGACAGGCGTTGACGTTTACGTCTTCACACGCGGCCGCTGCGCGTTTTAACGTATTACTTTCCGTTCTCGGCCGAACCGAGCGAGCCTCGCAGCGATATCTTCGTTAATTACATCATCGCTGACGAAATGCGAGGGTTCAATCAATTAGACTTTAGATTCGGGCTCGAATGCGGGAAGCTTTAATTAGCTTTTAAATAGATACTTTATTATATTTGACGTAAGAAAACTGTGCGATTAAAGAAGCGCGCTCGTCAAATACTGATTCGAGTTTGAGTTGAATATTTTTTCTCTTCTCGTAGCGTGTTATTTAAATAGTCTGCGGACAGAAAGCTAGGCAGAAAATTAGATGGAGGATGAACGGCGAGGGCGAGGCAGCGAATTAATTATCATTCACCCTTGGGTTAAAGACAGTGTTGCGAAACAGCGCGCGATTAGTCGAATGAAATTTATCGTCGCGGTAAATGTACGAGTCGAGGCAGGCCAGGCGAGCCGCGTTGAATCGCGAAGAGAAAAGAGGAAACGAGCCCGTATCGCCTCGCGAAGGAACGTTTAAGGGATGTGTCGGGAAAGCGCCGGAGAAAAAGTGACTGCCGGGAGAGGTAGACTTAGGAGAGGAGCGAGCGAGGGTGGACGGGACTCGTATTATAAAAGCAATTAGGAGGTCTCAGATTAGATATAGCACATCGTACATAACAAATATGATAATACGGGCCGCTAGCCCGAAGGGGGTTTGGCTTTCGTACGGGTTTCTCGGCGAGGGTTTCGGGTTATGAGGCAGGTTAAACGGAATCATTAATAATCGGAGCTAACTAATCTGCCTGTCGCTATGAGCACACTTGTTTCACTCCTGTTTTTATTATTGCGCCGCGAGATAACATTTTATTCTTCCGATCCGGAATGAGAAAAGTAGTATCGTACGCATTTTACGAAAAAGCGCACGCGACACGTAAACATTCGTCTCGATTGTTACTATTTTTTTTCATCCAATCAATCGTCGCGATTAGTTAGTCATATCAATCCAAATAAAAATGTCACCATCAAAGATGTACGCAATTGAATTATAATTAATATTGAATAATTTAATTATAATATTTAAGCTCTGCATGACATGAATGGCGAGACACCCTTGTATGTCAAAGGAGTATTGTGTATCTGACGAATTATAATGCCCAAGAATGTGTCATTTATTTTGATTTCTTTCTGTTTCAGTTGTACGAACTGGACGAGAATCCTGACCGGAAGGAATTTCTTGACAACCTCTTCACTTTTATGCAACAAAGAGGTAAGGATTTATAAATAAATTACCTCGATCAATCGAAAATAACGCATAATAAGTATGTCAATGATTCCTCGACGAGTTGTGTCGTAATGCGAGTTTATATTACAAATATTGAACATTCTCCCGTGGCTCTTTCAAGGATGGCACGTTTCACTAATCAGAATTTTTCCTCTCGATATTTGCCAATATTGCTAATTTATATTTAATTCGTGCGTTTAATCAAGATCTCTGCCGTCTTCTCTTCGGGAAAATTAAAAAGACAGTAAATCGAATTCAGCCATCGACCGACTTTCTTCGACGACGTTATTTCGCAAGTTTGTTTGGATTCGCCGCTTAAGTCTGTCGACCGTTGAGAAAGATACACACGTGTGACTATCCCCGGCATCGACCCGCATCGCGTTTCCTGCACACGTGGATTTTCGTAGCCGGCCGCGCCGTAAACGTCCACGTGGTTAAAAGGTTCGATAACACGTTGCATCTGCTCGGGTACCGCGAAGCACCGAAATTAGAATCGACCAACGAGTCGGAACAAGCGACGCCCGTGAAATCGCACGTTTTCTCACGCGTGTCTGATAGCGCGTGCCATATTATTGTCCCCGAGCACAGTTTCGATAAATCCGGACCCCGTAATTGGCGCGAAGACTCTCTCCCCGTGCTTTTTTACGCTATTTTAGCGTGAAAATCTTCTTTTCGCTTTCTTTTTTTTTCTTCGAGTTTCAAAAAGAAGATTGATCCGCGGCGAATCGCAGCCTCCGAAGACGGTTAGACGGTGAACCGGAAACGTCGGACTCTAATTATAAACATGGCGACTTCTCGTCCATCAATCAAGCCCGCCTGATGCGTCAGTGCTTCTGTTCTTTTCGCTCTTTTTCTCTCCTTCTCTTTTTCTCTCTCCGTATCTCTCTCTCTCCCTCTTTTCTCTATGAAGCTTGTGGCGCAACTTTGAGTCTGAGACAGTGCTATTATTATTCCTATCTCCTAGCAATAATTAGAGTCGATTGGATCAACATATCCGTTTGTCTCTTTCCAGTCGTCCGTTCATCGCGCGTTAATATTTTATGAACAGTAATTTAGCACGATAAAGAGGCTAAAGATGCTAAATGATCATCATTCGAAGCGATGCTAAATGATCATCATCGAGCGCGCTGACATTGACTGAACCTTGAATGACGTGTGAGAATTATTTGATCTCGCATTACTGAGTTTGAAAAATGGAAAATATATCCAATTTAAAACTTGTGGCGGAAAAAAAAGGAAAAAAGATGAGAGGGAAAAGGGATGCGAGACACGGGCACGTTATGAGAGAGGAATATGACGTATCGCGCGATGATGCGCGACCGTACGTGGCGTCGTTTGTTTCGCGGGTTATTATACTTCGTGAATGGTAATAACGAGTCGGGGAGACCATAAATCCTCGAGGCGATCAATGCCGATTGATCTTTCGATTCGCCCGTAACGCGGCTCGATTAAAATCGCGCGCGCGCGGGCGAACGAGAGAATAAAAAGGCGAGATCGGGCGAGGGAGCGCGTATCTCGATGTCTCTCGCGGGTAAAAGCTTGATATATATACGAACCGACGTATAGGGGGACTCCGGTCGTCGGGCCCCCGGGGCCCTCCCGCGGGGGCCGCGTTATTGTGCCCCACGCACGCAATAATTCAACACTAACGTAACGCATAACACCTTACTACGTCCGTGGATATAAAAGACCATTCATCATATTCGGGTATATTAGTCCAGCCACCACCAATTTGTGTTTGCTATCATCGCTCTCGACCGATTCTATATAAGCGCTCTCTTGGCTCTTTTTAGATATACAAACGCGCGGACAAATTATCGCGGTTAGTCCATTATCGCCTTCGACTATGGCGGTGGCTCTTTTCGTTTACGATTCTTTACGCGAGAAAGAAAAAAGGCGCCTCCTTGCATCATGTTAGGTATTAATCGTATCGAGGGATATTTCGCGGATTTACACATTATTCGAATCTCATATCGCGAGTAAAAATTTGTTATTTTATACATGTTGATAATGCGAGCATACTTATTTATACTTATTTATCGCCCGACTCTGACCGAGAGTAAAATGGAATGCTTATTTAAATGAAGATGACATTTGCACAACAAAGACAAATGGCTTTCTCCACAATCTACAAGCAGGTGTCATTCTCTAGTCTAGTAACAAGTTCTATAAATAAGTCGATACATTCCAAGTAAACAGCTGCAATGTTCTAATTTGTTGCAACTTTTTCGAGTGCCTAATTATATGAATAATAACTGTGTTATTTTTAAAATATATATACGTATATATTTATACCGCGTTACATATGTATACCGGAAATAATTATCTTATCAGAATTAGGACGCAATTTAAATTATTGTTTATTATTGAAATAATGGTAGATAATAATAAACCTACATAGAAGTCGTCTAACTTTCCGAGGAGAGGTTGCGTTCTAATTCTGGTAGGATAATTATTTCCAATACAATGATACGAAAAGTATTACATGGAGAAAAACGAGCCTATAAAGAGCATAAAGTCCTGCGCGGAATTTAATATTAGCCTCGTGTTTGCTTTGCGCTTCGTACTCGACGCCACGCGGGAACCGCTCTTTTTCGGGGAACTTGGCTTTTAATGACCTTTAAATCCGGCGCCGTTAATAGATATTACCAAGGCCATTTTGCAACAAAGTGTCCGTCCCGGTTTCGAATCCATCGACGAAGGTATTCGTATATCAAAAGCGCCGACGAGGCACGCGGAACGCACAGATTCGCGCAAGCGGAACATAACTTTGGCCGATAACTTTGCCGTGGAGGAGTGCCGAGAGAACCGGTTCGCGAAAGTCAACACGTAACCCTCCAGGACGCGCGATCCAGAAAATTCTGAGGGGATCGATCTTGGGAACGGTTTTGATTAGGGTAAACAAGAGCGAGCAGAAACGCGCACTCGAACTTGAAGATTTTTGGAAAATTATTAGGGTGTCTGTTCTCCCCAAAACACATGGAAAAACTTGAAATTCTCAGAGATTTCTCTTGTACTTGGAGAAATCAGGGAATTCTCATGGAATTTTATTGGCACTCAGGGAATTTTTAAAAATTTTTCTTTGATTAATGCTTTTATATTGTAATCTGCTGATAATTCAAGTCATAAAATATGTATTTAAAATATATTATAAATATATATATTTATTTTTGTTTATATATCTAATAATTCAATTTCTTAACAAAATATTGAATATATAGTATATATTCTTTTTTATTAATGAGAAAAAAATGAAAATATTATGCAAGTAAGAAACATTTATTCAACGAAAGCTATTCATTTTTTCAGTACATTTGCAAATCTAGTACTTGAATTTTAAGTAGTTCTATATTTTACTTTCGCGTAAACAAAGTATAGGAAAATGCAAAGTTGCACCAAAATATTTTAAAATATCCTCTTTATTTAGACAAAAATATTCTGAAAAATTAAAGAATTTTTTTAAGGAAATTTTGTACAAAATTTAAGTAGACACACTAATAATTCTCTTCTTACGGAAACGTGTATAAGTGATGATGATTTTTCTCCTCTTCTCTTTCGATTTTTTTCGTCACTCTTCTTCCAGCCTAGTATATGCGTGGAATTCACTTCTTTGCTCGCGCGAAAACTAAACTTTGTGCGAGTGTTCTTTATTTATCGCATACATTGCTTTGCATCGCTTGAAAGAAAGAGAAAGAGAGAGATTGTGTTATAAATCCCAACCCATTTAATATGCAAATTTCACCACCTCCGACACAGCCCGAGGTCTGCACTTACCTTCTTCTTTTTTTTTCCTCACCAATACGAACGAGTTTCAATCGCCGATGTAATTCATACTGCGGTGACTGCACACGAGTAATGCCATTTCTTGTCGAATACGTTATTATCTTTATTTCCCTCTCTGTTCATCTTCTCGCGCAGTCATGTATTATATATATTTGCACTCTTGCAAATGTATGAAGATATAAGAATGTAAGAGAACTTATAAATCTTGAAGATTTTATGAATCTCTCGAAGATGATATCGTCTTTTTCGTTTTAGAATTAATTATTTTTCTCTTCTTTAACACACATAGTATCGGATATTCTTTTAATAGCAGATTCCCTCTTAATTTGAAGACAATATTTTCCTAGCGAAAATTTACCGAGACATTAATAATTCAAAAAAAGTTTTTCACAAGATAAATTTTATAACAGAATATAATTAATATAAATATAATTAAATAGTTATATATATAATAATATATAATTAATTAATAATTATGGAACGATAATGAAAGTAATTTACTCGAGATATATTTTTGACAGTGACAAAATTAAAAGGAGGAAAGACAATAGAATGTAATTTTTTTTGGCATGACAACGTTTATAAAACGTTTTTTTTTAATTTTATTGACGAAAAGACGCTTTCGCGCGCAGAATTGATCGTCGCCGAGTGTGTAAAAGTTCGTGTCGAGCCGAGAGCGCGTCTAACGTCCGCGTTACGGCCAGTTCGAAGGGAAAAAACGCCTTTTTACTCGCGCGCGACGCGGCGCGAGTAACGCATTAACGCGGGGAACACGTGTTCGGCACGAACGCTTCTCGCTACACACTTGTGAACACGCACCGCGTACGTGACGTCTGCATATACACGAGATATTACATTAGGTTTTCATAGGCGCGCTCTTTCGTCCTCCCATTTCCCACCCCCCATGCCTCCCTTCTTATCGAACGAACGTGGAATCGTTTCTCCACATTCGGATCGATTGTTTCGCTGAAAGTTTCGCAGGGAGAAAAAAAAATGAAGGAAACCTCCTCATCCTTTCTTCAAATTAAACTAAACGCTCCGTAGCGTAGGTAGCGAGGGCCCCGCTTTCGTGCGCACCCGTAAATTAAAGGGGGCGAACGAGGGAATCGGAGAGCACACGAGCGGGAACTAGCGTGAAATTGAGCAGTCGACCCGAAATCCGCGGCGGTAGCTTAACGTAGTTATCGTGCCGAGCACAGCCA